AATGGTTTAGTGTTGTAACTGTTCAGTGTGGCAATGGTTTAGTGTTGTAATTGTTTAGTGTAGCAATGGTTTAGTGTTGGAGCTGTTTAGTGTGGCAATGGTTTAGTGTTGTAACTGTTTAGTGTGGGAATGGTTTAGTGTTGTAACTGTTTAGTGTGGCAATGGTTTAGTGTTGTAATTGTTTAGTGTGGCAATAGTTTAGTGTTGTAACTGTTTAGTGTGGCAATGGTTTAGTGTTGTAATTGTTTAGTGTAGCAATGGTTTAGTGTTGTAACTGTTTAGTGTAGCAATAGTTTAGTGTTGTAACTGTTTAGTGTGGCAATGGTTTAGTATTGTAACTGTTTAGTGTGGCAATGGTTTAGTATTGTAACTGTTTAGTGTGGCAATGGTTTAGTGTTGTAACTGTTTAGTGTAGCAATGGTTTAGTATTGTAACTGTTTAGTGTGGCAATGGTTTAGTATTGTAACTGTTTAGTGTAGCAATGGTTTAGTGTTGTAACTGTTTAGTGTGGCAATGGTTTAGTATTGTAACTGTTTAGTGTGGCAATGGTTTAGTATTGTAACTGTTTAGTGTGGCAATGGTTTAGTATTGTAACTGTTTAGTGTGGCAATGGTTTAGTGTTGTAACTGTTTAGTGTAGCAATGGTTTAGTGTTGTAACTGTTTAGTGTGGCAATGGTTTAGTGTTGTAACTGTTTAGTGTGGCAATGGTTTAGTGTTGTAATTGTTTAGTGTGGCAATGGTTTAGTGTTGTAACTGTTTAGTGTGGCAATGGTTTAGTGTTGTAACTGTTTAGTGTGGCAATGGTTTAGTGTTGTAACTGTTTAGTGTAGCAATGGTTTAGTGTTGTAACTGTTTAGTGTGGCAATGGTTTAGTGTTGTAACTGTTTAGTGTGGCAATGGTTTAGTGTTGTAACTGTTTAGTGTGGCAATGGTTTAGTGTTGTAACTGTTTAGTGTAGCAATGGTTTAGTGTTGTAACTGTTTAGTGTGGCAATGGTTTAGTGTTGTAACTGTTTAGTGTGGCAATGGTTTAGTGTTGTAACTGTTTAGTGTGGCAATGGTTTAGTGTTGTAACTGTTTAGTGTGGCAATGGTTTAGTATTGTAACTGTTTAGTGTGGCAATGGTTTAGTGTTGTAACTGTTTAGTGTGGCAATGGTTTAGTGTTGTAACTGTTTAGTGTGGCAATGGTTTAGTGTTGTAACTGTTTAGTGTGGCAATGGTTTAGTGTTGTAATTGTTTAGTGTGGCAATGGTTTAGTGTTGTAACTGTTTAGTGTGGCAATGGTTTAGTGTTGTAATTGTTTAGTGTGGCAATGGTTTAGTGTTGTAACTGTTTAGTGTGGCAATGGTTTAGTATTGTAACTGTTTAGTGTGGCAATGGTTTAGTGTTGTAACTGTTTAGTGTGGCAATGGTTTAGTGTTGTAACTGTTTAGTGTGGCAATGGTTTAGTGTTGTAATTGTTTAGTGTGGCAATGGTTTAGTGTTGTAACTGTTTAGTGTGGCAATGGTTTAGTGTTGTAACTGTTTAGTGTGGCAATGGTTTAGTATTGTAACTGTTTAGTGTGGCAATGGTTTAGTGTTGTAACTGTTTAGTGTGGCAATGGTTTAGTGTTGTAACTGTTTAGTGTGGCAATGGTTTAGTGTTGTAACTGTTTAGTGTGGCAATGGTTTAGTGTTGTAATTGTTTAGTGTAGCAATGGTTTAGTGTTGTAACTGTTTAGTGTGGCAATGGTTTAGTGTTGTAACTGTTTAGTGTGGCAATGGTTTAGTATTGTAACTGTTTAGTGTGGCAATGGTTTAGTGTTGTAACTGTTTAGTGTGGCAATGGTTTAGTGTTGTAACTGTTTAGTGTGGCAATGGTTTAGTGTTGTAACTGTTTAGTGTGGCAATGGTTTAGTGTTGTAACTGTTTAGTGTGGCAATGGTTTAGTGTTGTAACTGTTTAGTGTGGCAATGGTTTAGTGTTGTAACTGTTTAGTGTGGCAATGGTTTAGTGTTGTAACTGTTTAGTGTGGCAATGGTTTAGTGTTGTAACTGTTTAGTGTGGCAATATATATATAAACCCGGCTCTCTAGCGTAGTTGGCTAAACCGGACTACGCGTTGACCGGGTGACGAACTCCTTCTGGTCCGAGTTCACGCCCGGGGGTAGGCAGAAAAGATTTCTCCCAGATTGAGGGTTTTTATCATAGAATCAAGGCTGAAGGGTTGCGATATCCATAATACCGAGCCGCTAAGGGTTAACAACTCATGGCTTCTAGATACTAAATAAATAAATAAATGTATATATATATATATATATATATATATATATATATATATATATATATATATATATATATATATATATATATATATATATATTGTGCGTTCTTTACAGGACGATGCAGAATCAACTCCAGCATTTCTTTTACATGATGTGGCTTTTTCTCGGCAAATTTTACGTTCAGTAGTTTGCCATTGCCTACTGAACGGTCTGCCCTCTGTACCAGCAGCATAGATCGAATCCGGCACCCCGGCATTAGGAAGCGCGTTCGTAACGCCTAATCCACAGACGCTGACCCAACATATATACACAATTAGTATACAGATAAGAATGAAATGGTTTAACCACCTAATGAGAGTGGAACCAACGATGCCAGCATCAAGAGCATACAACATGAAAATCGAAACACCAAGAGGCAGGGGAAGACCAAGAAGAAGATGGATTTAAGGAGTCACGGACAACTTGAGACTTCATAACATCACGGCATATGAAGCGACTGAGCGTGCCCTGGCTCGGTTGCCGATCATCTGATAGACTGCGACGCCTAGCGGCACAAGCAGATTTTGACAAAAGAAGAAGAAGAAAGAAGTATACAGATAAATTTAAATGAAGAAATGTAAACGGACAAACATTGTGAACATATATTTCCTTCAGTATTGTGTTTGCCTGTTCGACACCTGACTCGCGCGTCGTTCAAGAAGTATCCGTGAGTGTTGAGCAAAAACATCACGAACAAACATGCCGGGGGGTTTAACGTTCGACTGCGGATTAATCTAATTAAGCGTTAATCGAACACGCATGAGCAAATAGTTCGCTGAGGATAACATCGGGGATTGTTTTTAACTGACGAAACGGCCTCAATATGTCATGAATGTTTGTGTTGCACTTGCTAGTTTTACGTTCAGTAGTTTGCCATTGGCTTTGAAAAAATTCGACACAGCATATCAATGCTGCAAAATCGCCTGCAGCTCAAGCAAACCAGTTATTTTGGACACGTGAACAGAGTTCGTAACTTCTAAAATAAAGATACCGACATGTACACTGTATTCTTGTGTGTACATTCAACTTTCTGTTTGTTGTGTGTCTCATTATGGGAATAAATGTGATGTGACGGCTAGACGCTCGCCTGTGCATCCGAAGGTCGTGGGTTCAAACTCTGACGGAGCCGGAATATTTCAAACATGACCTTGGTTCCTAGGTTGGCCTAGTCTTAAATGGGCACCAGCTAAAAGCCCTTGCAAGTAAAGGCGGTCGGCGTAATGCTGATCACACCATCCACCAAGTGCCGATTAGACTAACAACAAATTGTAGGTCAGATAGTCATTTTAGTAGCTAGACAACGGAACCGTTGACTCCCTGTCAAGAAATAGGGAAAATGCATCAACAAAACCTAGTTAAAACAAATAAAGTTTCAGAGCGTCGGCGTTCAGTCAGATATCGACCATTCTGGCCAAAAGTCAGTCTAAGATTTAAAAAAAAAATAATAATCTGGGTCTAAAATAGTTCAGATAATACCATTATGGGACGAATTGTGTTGAATTAACAGCGCGAATAGAATGAGTTAATATTAGAGCTAGAAAACGTAGAAGAACATATCATGTCATGAAGCCCTAACGCAAGGTGAGTTGCCCGGTACTAAATGAGTTAGATTGCTAGGATATTTACCTATTTTACAATTGATGAACCTAGTAATCCATATAATTTTTAAAATTACGTTTCAATTGTAATTTGAACTCAAAACCTTTAGCTCAGAAGTGAAGAAGAAGTTCTATTGACTTGCAGACAGTGGAACAAGCATCTGGAATCAGAAAACACCGGGCCATCACCAAGTAATATTTTCACAAGATAGCGAACGATACGTATCTCTAATACAGCCAGCCTCATTTGTTGAGATCGCACATTTATTTTTCAAGTGTAAATTTTGCTGATTTAGTTGTACATCTCAGTTTAATCTTTGTGGCGATATTAACTCCATTCGGCTTGCTAGGCATGTCGCAAATTCACCACATCCCTGTTGATGTGGACGTTAACCCCGGATGACATTTCTTGCTTGTCGTCCTTAGCTGATCGGACTACACGTTACACCTTTACGGGTGCCCGAATTATAATATTTTTTGGGATGGAACGGGGTATCTAGGAGTGCCATGTTGGTCTGCATTCAGAGTGAGATTTCGCTAATCTGGTAAACCTTCGGGTAGCAGCTCAGAGAGGACAAACGGAACAATCGATCAAAGCAGAAATAAGAAGAAGAAGAAGAAGAAGAAGAAGAAGAAGAAGAAGAAGAAGAAGAAGAAGAAGAAGAAGAAGAAGAAGAAGAAGAAGAAGAGAAGAAGAAGAAGAAGAAGAAGAAGAAGAAGAAGAAGAAGAAGAAGAAGAAGAAGAAGAAGAAGAAGAAGAAGAAGAAGAAGAAGAAGAAGAAGAAGAAGAAGAAGAAGAAGAAGAAGAAGAAGAAGAAGAAGAAGAAGAAGAAGAAGAAGAAGAAGAAAAAGAAAAGGAAGAAGAAGAAAAAGAAAAGGAAGAAGAAGAAGAAGAAGAAGAAGAAGAAGAAGAAGAAGAAGAAGAAGAAGAAGAAGAAGAAGAAGAAGAAGAAGAAGAAGAAGAAGAAGAAGAAGAAGAAGAAGAAGAAGAAGAAGAAGAAGAAGAAGAAGAAGAAGAAGAAGAAGCAGAAGCAGAAGCAGAAGAAGAGGAAAAAGAAGAAGAAGAAGAAGAAGGAGGAGGAGAACGAACTGTCTATAGTATTTGATTACCCCTGCCTCTATTTTCCCCAGGTGACAAACGCACAGGAGCAGTTCCAGCTGACAGACGAGCAGAAGGCCGAACTGAAGGAGGCGTTTGCCTTGTACGCAAAGACAACAACTGGAAGAATTCCCGTGAGAGACCTGGGGGAGCTGCTCCGATGTCTGGGCTGGAATCCGTCTGAGCAAGACCTTGAAGAGGCCAGGCACGAACTTGAGTTGACTGGTAAGTGGAGGACCATTTGTTAGAAGACAAATTAAAGTACATCATCATCATGTAGCAGGTCCTTTGCAGAGAGTCGTTCACATCACAGTCAGCCTGAAAGAAACCCGTTCTCTCGCCAGTTCCCCCGCCTCATGTACTTTCATACTCAAGGAGTCATTTATATCCTGTGCCCATCTTCGTGTCGGTCGGCCCCTGCCCCTCCTTCCTGGTACCATGCCTTCTGCTATAATTATTTTCCAATCCGTCGTGGTGCTTGATGTGACCAAAATATTTCAGCTTCCGAGAAAGGATGCTGTTTATTAACCAATCTTCCTTGATGTTCAGATCTTTCAAGGTGTCAATATTTCTCATCTTCTGTGTCCAAGATATTCATATAATCTTTCTATAGCATTTCAGCTCAGAAGCCCCTATTCTCTTTCTTAAGGACTGAGAGATAGTTCACGACTCACATCCGTTTTAAAGTACAGTACAGTAGAGTAAATTACGGGGGCCGAAGAACACGCAATAGTGTAGTTAGAGTCCTTTGGACATTTTCTCCAGGTCATACCGATATGTTGGGAAATGTGCAATCAGACAGACATGCTGGTTCTGCACCACTTGGTGGTGCATTGATGTATGACAAGATAGATGTTGTGAGGGAGTGAACAGTGCGGAGGCACAAACAGATCATTACGGTCTGAGGAGAATGGTGCTCTCGAGGAGTTAGTTACCAAGGGGTCTGGCCGACGCTCAACACTCAATGAAAAATCGAGACAGACAAACAATCAGACAGTTACTGGTACCATCTGTACTGGAACTCTTCGCTTGCTGCCAACGAATTGGACGGGGAGCTCATGGGAATGTCCCTTGTGCAGCGGTGTCAATTCATTCATTCATTCATTCATTCATTCATTCATTCATTCATTCATTCATTCATTCATTCATTCATTCATTCATTCATTCATTCATTCATTCATTCATTCATTCATTCATTCATTCATTCTTTCATTCATTCATTCATTCATCCATTCATTGATTCATTGATTCATTGATTCATTCATTCATTCATTTATTCTTTCATTCATTCATTCATTCATTCATTCATTCATTCATTCATTCATTCATTCATTCATTCATTCATTCTTTCTTTCATTCATTCATTCATTCATTCATTCATTCATTCATTCATTCATTCATTCATTCATTCATTCATTCATTCATTCATTCATTCATTCATTCATTCATTCATTCATTCATTCTTTCATTCTTTCATTCATGTATTTTGTGTATTTCAGCAAGTGGCAGCCTATCCCTCACAGAAGTGGAGGATTACATCCGTCGACGTGGAGCGCTGTATTATGGGAACAGTGCTGAAGAAGATTTAATGGCTGCTTTTCAGGTATGTATGACAAGTTAGTGGTTCCCAAGTGTTAGTCCGCAGGCCCCCAAGGGACCTTGGAACAAATTTAAGAGGTTCATGATATCATTTATGAAAATCTTTAACCCTCATTTTGTCCCCTTGGCTTGGCTTGGCTTTTTTACCCCACCAGGACATCACACAAGCGATAAACACCCGATGACACAAAGTGCCACCATGCGGATGAGGATCACCGTGGAGAGGTCCCAGAAACCGCGTTCAGACATTTGGCCATAATGATGACCTGCCTATATTGCGGCCCCTGGCAAAAGCCAGAGTGGGGCTTTAAATAACAAAAAATAACGTCCTAAGAAGGACGTAAGGAATGAGTTTTTTGTCCCCTTAATTTTAGTACATAGGTAATTTTAATAGGACTATTAAAATGTAGACGGCTCGTGGCAGGCATTCACAAACATAAAGGCGTCTGCAGATATTAACTAACTGGGAGCCAGTGTCACTGGGTGTTACAGGTAATGGGACATATTTGTGAATCTCTATTTATGTTGGAAAAAATAAAACAACGTTAGTTGCCTATCCTTTACAGGGCAGTGCAGAACCAATCGCAACATTTCTTGCTGTTTGTGGTGTTGATTTTTTTAAGGCAGTTTTAAGTTTAAAGTTTGAAAGCAATTCTCATAAAAATGATTTTTTTTTTTTTTGGGTCGACATTGTGATACCCAGTAGTACCAAACATGGACACATACTACAACTAATGAGCGGAAGATCGTAACAACAGAGATGAGATCTTTTAGGAGAGCTGCCGGTGTGACAAGAAGAGATAAAATCAAGAATAAAGAAATTAAAAAAAGACTAGGACTAAAACCAGTCGTACAATTAATTGAAGAACAACAAATGAGATGGTTTGGCCACCTGACGAATGCCCTGGTACCAACTGCCAAGAGAGCCACGATGAAGAAATATAATAAACACAGATCAAGGGGAAGACCACGCAAGATATGGAGCGACACCATCAGGAGCAAACTAATATAAATGAACACCAACTTGTACAATGCATTGGAAAAAGCGCACAACGATCCTTACATCACGTCCCCCCCCCCCCCCACCCCCCCCCCCCCCCCCCCCCCCCCCCCCCCCTTCTCCTCTCCCAACACCTCGCTGAGGTAAATGGCGGAAGAGAACAAGAAGTAGTTGTAAGTTCATTAGTTCGCATTGAATTCTGAATGGTCGACTACTTGTGTGGGTTCTGAGCCCTTATTGACGTGAAAAAGTGGGAGTGGGGGGGGGAGGGTGGGAGGTAAATAGAACCACTGACCCCTAACGATCACGTGATAAAATCGACTAATTAGGGGTGTATCCTTCGAAGTAGGCATGTATCTGCTTGAGACGTCAGGAACCAGCAGTCTGCATACAAATAATTTGGATGTGTAAAACGGATGTGCCCCGCAAAACTCAAGTTTTGGAACATGACCAAAGTCCAGAAGTGGACGAACAGTCAGAGCTTTTCTACCAGAGTTTATAACCGGTGAACGCAAAGAAGGAGAAGACAGCGGTGGGGATGGGGGGGGGGGGGGAGGTCTGGTTCGTTTGGATTTTACCATAAAGCTGTTTTTGTTGTATTATTACTATTATTATTACTATTTGTATTACTATTATTATTGTTATTATTATTATTATTATTAGTTGTTGTTTTCCGGATACACCGTCCCTTGCTATTCTCTACGTATTTAATAATATAGTTAAGGGATCAACCATGTGTTAACGGAAAAAAAATACCAGAGTCCTGTCGAAACACGGAAATATATTGAGATCCTTTTTCACACCTTCAAGCGTATTGGGCACATAGGGCTAGGCCTATATTTTTTATTTTACTTTTACTCCCCAGGAACTGAAACGTATTAAGAAATATATTTTTAATTTAAGCTGATGATGTAGACTTTCACACAGTGGAACCAGTAGATGAGAAGTTGTAAACATACACAGACCATTTCAGTGAGCCGCCGTGGTGTAGCGGCAAGGCGCTCGCCTGTGGATCGCAAAGTCATGGGTTCGGACCCTGACGGAACCAGATGTTTTCCAAAAATGTCCTTGGCTCACAGGTAGACCCAGCCTTGAGTGGGTACCAGGTATAATCCTGGGAAGTAAAGGAGGCCGGCGAGATACTTAACACACTACCCATCGAGTGCCGATTGGTCTATAAACATGCTTTTAGCCCTATATGCCCAAAACACCTTAAGACCTGGAAAAGGTCCTTAAGTCTTTTTTTTTAAACAGAATATTTCAAGCGGCACACAGTGAACTAATAGGTAACAAAGTTGAATGTTCTTGCAGGTTCTAGACAACCACGGCAGCGGGCGGATCGCCGTGTCCAGCTTCAGACGCTTCCTAACAACCATGGGTGAGAAGATGACACATGATGAAGCCGAGGAGCTCATTGCCAGCTCGACGCTAAGCGGCCAGGATTATATCGAATGTCGAGGTGGGTTTATCCATGAGTCTAGGGGAGAGAGAGAGATTGGTACATTTATGCACACAGACTGAAGAGCGGACAGACTGATAGATAGATAGATAGATAGATAGATAGATAGATAGATAGATAGATAGATAGATAGATAGATAGATAGATAGATAGATAGATAGATAGATAGATAGATAGATAGATAGATAGATAGATAGATAGATAGATAGATAGATAGATAGATAGATAGATAGATAGATAGATAGATAGATAGATAGATAGATAGATAGATAGATAGATAGATAGATAGATAGATAGATAGATAGATAGAGAGAGAGAGAGAGAGAGAGAGAGACAGACAGACAGACAGACAGACAGACAGACAGACAGACAGACAGACAGACAGACAGACAGACAGACAGGCAGGCAGGCAGGCAGGCAGGCAGGCAGGCAGGCAGGCAGGCAGGCAGGCAGGCAGGCAGGCAGGCAGGCAGGCAGGCAGGCAGATAGATAGATAGATAGATGGATAGATAGATAGATGGATAGATTGATAGATAGATAGATAGATAGATAGATAGATAGATAGATAGATAGATAGATAGATAGATAGATAGATAGATAGATAGATAGATAGATAGATAGATAGATAGATAGATAGATAGATAGATAGATAGATAGATAGATAGATAGATAGATAGATAGATAGATAGATAGATAGATAGATAGATAGATAGATAGATAGATAGATAGATAGATAGATAGATAGATAGATAGATAGATAGATAGATAGATAGATAGATAGATAGATAGATAGATAGATAGACGGACGGGCGGACGGACGGACGGATGGCGGACAGACAGACAGACAGACAGACAGACAGACAGACAGACAGACAGACAGACAGACAGACAGACAGACAGACAGACAGACAGACAGACAGACAGACAGACAGACAGACAGACAGACAGACAGACAGACAGACATCTGGGCTGACAGGAAGGAATGCGTCTAATCACTCAAAGCTCTTGAGAGAGAAAGAAAATCAAGAGAAATATATATGTGTGTGTAAATTAGAAAGCGAAAGATGACGTGCGATAATGAGAGAGAAATATGTGTAAGTGTATATGAGATAAGATATGAGATGTGTGTGTGAATGAGAAAGAAAGAGAAGGAGAGGAAGAAAGACTGGGGGGGGGGGGGAGGAGAGAAAGAGAGAAAGAGATAAAGGAGTAAGTGATAATGAGAGAAGGTGAGTACACAGGTGTCCCATAACTTTCTATATACAGAGGAGGCCGATTTTCTTTGACAACCATTTTTATGTATTTAATATGCCCGGTTCGCTAGCGTAGTTGGCTAAACCTGGCTTCGCGACGACCGGGTGATGAAAACCTTGTGGTCCTGGTTCACGCCCGGGGTAGGCAGAAAAGCCACATTTCTCGCAGATTTACGGTATTTATCATGGAATCAAGGCCGAAGGGTTGCGATATCCGTAGTACCGAACCAAAGGGTTAAGAAGGCTTCTGGATGTTAAAAAAGAAGTGTATTTAACATGGCTACCATTGTTTGGAAAACACATTTCTACGTGTGACCTCTAGTGTTGAAGAAGAACACGTCTGAGAAAAGCTGGACTTATGCTTGCAATGGCACTAGATTTAGTGAAGTAAAAATGGAGAAACAGAGCCATGTTTATGTCAATGGCGAAAGTCAATAGAGCCTTTTTTAGTAGACCAGCCAAAAATTGGTGGGCGACATGTTTATGCCTCCCCCCCCCACACACGCACACACACACACAAACACTCGCACACGCACACACACACACACACACACATACACACACACACACCATGTGTGGGAACTTTGTGGGACAACCTGAAAAAGGAAATTATTGGGAAATGGAAATTATTGAGCGATGGTGAAAAAGGGAGAGAGAGAGAGAGAGAGAGAGAGAGAGAGAGAGAGAGAGAGAGAGAGAGAGAGAGAGAGAGAGAGAGAGAGAGAGAGAGAGAGACAGAGAGAGAGAGAGAGAGAGAGAGAGAGAGAGATGCCTGAAAGAGAAAGTGATAGTCACTTAGGGAGCCTAAGGAGTATATCACATTTCTAATGAATCCTCAGACCTTGTCCAGGCCGTGAAAGACTTACCAAAGTGATGTCTGGCTCAACCCAGCGGTTTCATTGACTTTCTTCTCCGACCCACAACCACTTGAGTTTGCTGGAACTATGACTGGCAAAACTGGTCTACGAAATGATGAATAACACTATGACTGGCAAAACTGGTCTACGAAATGACGAACGACACTATGACTGGCAAAATTGGTCTACGAAATGACGAACAACACTATGACAGACGATGTTATTTAACAGGGAGATAAGATAATTATATATAATAAATTAATAGAAAAACAATGTAATTAATAGGAAAAAATGTTAAAGAAGTAGTTTAAAAAATTTTTTTATTATCTAAACTGTACAAATATTGCCCATGACAATTATTTCTTTTTTTTTTTTAAATTCATTTGTTATAAACTGTAATTCAGCAAAGCACACAAGAACAGAAGGTTTCAAGAAAAGAGGCGGATCAAGAAAGATATGGACCGAGGAAGGAAAAGAAAGACACTACAGAAACACAGTATGACATTAACACAAACTACGCATTTAGAAAAAAGACAGAAAAAACTACACATATAGTGCGTTTACAAATTTGTACCGATGTTCAAAATATTATATCACAGTTGCAGTGTAATGTATGTACTTGGAATTATATAATATTTACTTTATTCTCCACATTATGTTAGATATTTGTCCCTCATAACAGGTCATTAAAATAATAATTGTTGGCTTTTTCGAGGTACATAATATATGATCGTCACTGAATTGCCTTTTAAGAGTTATACAGCACACAGTTCAAATGAAACCAATCGACCTTTCACACACACACACACACACACACACACACACACACACACAACAACAACAACACGTGTTTCTTATGTTCGCTTGAAATTCGGCAACTGTTGCACTGAAAGTGTCTCAGAGCGCTAAGAAATTAGTGTGCCGAGTCGTTTCTAAGAAAAGATATAAAACCGAACGAAAAGTATACAAGCAAGCTTCACAATATAACAAATACAAACAAAACGTGAACGTTGCGGCTATTGAGCCTTCATCAGCACATTCAAATGAAACAATACTACACAGAAACACAAAATCACTTAGCTGGTATCTCGAAGCAGCCGGGTCGGTTGTTTCTCAACAGAATGCTGCTCTAAGTACGTGAACAGTTGTTAGGCGTAATTTATGTGTTTATGGTTGGTCAGGGATAGTGCAATTCACGCCAGTACTGTAAAATTACCTAATTAAAATTACACGAGTGATGAAAATAACAGAGAAAACGACCGCTTTGATACAACTGGGCAGTCTAACTATTATTTATGAATCAAACGCTAACTTCAATATGAGATCAGAAGCCTATGAAAACAGTCACGTTCCCAGGATAAGTCATTACCGAGAAATTTTGGAAAATACAACGGCACGAAAAAAAAAAACCTATCATAACTCCTTTTTGCGATGTTTTACGCCATAAGCAGTGAGACGAACGAAGAAGAAAGATTCGGTGAAGTAAAACTGGAAGAACAGGACAAAGTTCACCTCAATGGCGAAAGACCATAGATACTTTTTTTAGTAGACTAGCAGTGTTGCCACGTTTCTTGGACCCAAAACACACACACACACACACACACATCTAAAAGGGAGTCAAAAATATCTAAAAACATCCAAAGTTGCGTGGAAAACATATAGAAAAAACATTCAAATGGAAAGAGTCACAAATTACATAGCTATTGATATGACGTACCCTATAGAATTATGTCTTCATCTTTACTGAAGTCTGCCTCACAAGATCCACAGGATAAACTTAGCTTGGATGATGAAGTTGAAGCCTTAGATCCAAAATGACTTTTGTATGCTTTAGCTGTTCCAGTTTCTGTTAATACTCAATCAGAGAGCTGATAAGTGGAACAGCCTTTTCCTACTCTTATCAGGTCGAATGTCATTGTCAAGATAGCATTTAAGAGGTCAAATTTCATCCTGTTTCTTAAGTTAGATTTGATAAAGTCACTCTAAATGAAAAAGCATCTAGAAAACATCTACCATCTAAACGTCAAATGCAAGAGAAAACATCTACATCTGGATGTAAAACATCCAAAGTGGCAACACTGTAGACTAGCCAGCAGTTGGTGGGTGACATGTTTGAAGTTTGAAGTTTGAACGACAAATCAATATCATGGCACACGGGTAGTAACCCATAATAGCTCCGTTCTTCTTTTAACTCAAGTCTGAGTCAGAAGAATCTCAGCACAGTGCACAGGCTCTGTAGTACCGGCGAGGATCCTGAAATACTTTTGGTAGATTTTTAGCTCGGAATTTTGCACAGGCAGTGCCGTTAGGCTACTCTTTTCGATTTCCAACTGCCAAGGGATGGTGCAATACACACGGGCGTCCGATCTCACTACCCAGAGACCAGGAAAAAATACTAAATGTTCAACTCAAAGTGAAAAAATCCCAGCCCTTACCGGGGATTGAACCCGGAATCTCTAACACTCAAGGCGGACACCATGCCTCTAGACCACGTAGCTCCCTGCTGAGAGACACGTTTAGCATCACAGTTGGAGTCCTAACCTTCCATCGCATTTTTTATTACCAATTTTAGTCAAAATATCAAAATTTTCTGGCCAGATACAATCACAAACACAAAAATACTTCAAGTCACAAACCAAGAAACTTTAGACAATATGATAACCAAGAGAAGATGGAAATGGTTTGGCCACGTTATGAGAACAAATCCTGATATACCTGCCAATACAGCTCTCACATGGACACCAGAGGGAAAGAGAAAACAGGGGCGCCCAAAAACAACATGGAGAAGAACGATGGAAAGTGACCTGAGTGCGGCATCTTTGACATGGAAAACTGCACTGAGGATTGCACAGGACAGGAAAGTATGGAAAGTCCTCTCTTAAGCCTCATGTGCCACTAGGCATAACGAGAACTGCTGATTTTAGTCGGGGTCGACCATGTATAAAAAAAAATCTTCTTATGTTCTGATTCAAACACACTCACACAGACATAAATACACGAGCTTTGTCTACAAAACCTGGTATAGGAAGAATCCTTTCCCACACCTTTAAGCGTAATGGGCATCTAGGGCTAGACCTATATTTTCTAGGCCAATCGGCACTCGGTCAACATCACGCTGGCTGCCTTTACTTCCCAACACGTTACCTGGTACCCTTTTAAGGCTGGGTCGATCTGGAAGCCAAGGTCGTTTTTGAAAACAGTCCGGCTTCACCTAGTTCTGAATCCACGACCGTTACATCACGGCGGTTCCTAAAACCTGGTATACGGACCTGAATCCAAGTCCGTTACATCACGGCGGTTCCTAAAACCTGGTATACGGGGTACATATTTCTAACCCAGTTTTTCATTAGGGGGTCGCCGTGGCCGAGACGCTCGCCGCGGATCGGAAAGTCGTGGGTTCGCTCCCTGGCGGAGCCGGACTTTTTTCAAAAATGACCTTGGCTCCCAGGTCAACCCAGCCCTTAGTGGGCACCAGGTGCAGTCCGGGAAGCAAAGGCAGCTGGCGTTATGCTGACCACATCACCCATCTTTTGCCGATTGGTCTATAAAAATATAGGTCTAGCCCTATATGCCCTATACACCTTAATGCGTAGAAAAGGGTTCTTTTACTTTTTTTTCCAACTAGTATTTTATTACAGACCAATCAGAATTTGTAAATATCAGCCCAGCCGCATTTAATTTCCAGCACTTATTCTCGTATATGTTTTATACTCGGTCGAACCTTGAGACCAGATTAATTTTTAGAATGCATTTGAGCCGAGGACCGCCTCACCCCACGCCCTCCTCACTAAATTTTTTTACGTGTAGGGGACTGGCTCGATGTTTGTTTAATTGCGCAATAATAATAATGAAAATATTAACAATCATCATTATTATTATAATCATAATTATTATTGCACATTTAAACTAGGCTAAAGTCCTTTAATCCCGTTACCCCTGTAAAATATTATAAAAAGGGGCGGGCCCTTCAAGGGGTTTATGCTTTGCCTCATTTGGCAGTAATAATTATAATAATTAATAATATTAATAGTATTTTTTATGGGCTGAAAAGCAAATAAAAATAAAATTTTTAAAAACAAGATGAAATCTATTAACATACTTTTGACAGGACAATACCTATATATTACGGGGGGGGGGGCGGTGGTTGGAGATTGGGCCGGAGAGGGAGGGGGGTGGGATCTGCTCTTTCTAAAACTATTCGGGGGAAGGGGGGTGCGGGGGTTTTGACCGTACATATTTTTTTTAATGCACCTGAAACTCCACCTATGCCTAGGACCTAAAAGGATGAAGAAATAAAACGCCCAGCCAGGCAAAGTTCTAGCATGAGAACTTCCATTTTTCACAACGTATTCACGTTTCTTTCGTAAATTTCCCACTGCCAGCAGTGTGTATCTATCTGTCTGTTTACAGTTTGTAATGGTTGTTTTCAAGGATTTTTGTTGTTATAATCGTGTGTTAGGGCCTTGTATCACAACATGCACACAATTCTGAAGCAATTCCAAGTTTCAGTTGAGTTGAATCAAGAATTGACATCACAGCACTCATGCGTGCTCCGCGCTCATCTTCAGCAATACTGATAGAACCGGTCAGTGTTGCCACTTTTCTTTGACAAAAAATATCCAAAACGGTGTCAAAAAATATCTTAAAAGATCTGAATCTGCGTGAAAAAGATCTAGACAAAACATCCAAATTGAAAAAGTCAAAAATTACAAAGCTTTTGTTATGACTTACCCTACATAATTATGTCCTCACCTTCATTGATGTCTGCCTCACAAGATCCACAGGATAAACTTAGCTTGGATAATGAAGTTGAAACTTCAGATCCAAAATGACCCTGGTATGCTTTAGCTGTTCAAATTTCTTTATAAGTGGAACCGTAGGCTTATTTCTCTAGTCTCATCAGCATTTAAGAGGTCAAATTTCATCCTGTTTTTCATGTTATATTTGAAATAATTCCTAGCACTGAAAACTCTTTCTACGTCAGCATTTGAGTGGGGTAGTATCATGGTAGACATGT